TACCGAAAATAATTACATATTTTGCATTGTTTTGCTAGCAGTAGCCTACAATATTCCCTACTCCAACTGTTCGAACAGAACTGCTCACAGAAAACACATGAAATGTGTGTCATTGTGTAAGAATTGGATGGGGAGATTCACGTCGCGACATGCTTCTGTGCAAGCAGACACGTAACGGGGACGGATACCTTGACGGGAGGTGCGTCAGACTATTGAGCATGTTGGATTAAAAAATGTCAGACTATCAAGGGAGAATGTACTTAAAATAACATATTGCTTTCCTTATTCTGATAAATCAATGGACTGTTCGTCTAGAGATATTATTTTTCAGTTTTCTTATCTTTAGAAAAATAAACTTGTAACAAAAATTTACAAATTATTTTTGTCCAAAGTAAGTAAAATTCACCATGTTATATTAATTTCTCATCTTATTTAAGCTTAATTTGTTTTTTTGTGTGATTTGAAGTTAGGAAACATGTAAAAGTACTTAACAAACAATACAATTTAGACTTTTCCCATTGATTTTATTACAGTAAATTAAATGAAATTAAGATATAATACATGACCTTTAAATTGTGTCATTGTATGAAGATAACGAGTCCTTTTTGATTGATAATCTTCTCCTTGAAAATTGATAAGATATGCATTCAATCTTATGTACTTAGAATGAAGAGCATTTATTCTTTTTAAAATATTTTTGAATGTGTTCTTATCTCGGAATGTATTGCAGGAAGCCATAAAATGAATATATAATCTGATTTCTAAATACAGTCACACCTCAACACAGTTCTGTTTGTTTGTAAAAAATTCACAGTAAATTGAATGTGACACTAAACTAAAGGACCTCAAACAATAAGAATATAAAACAACTAGTAGATAGGCACGGCGTTGCTTGGGCAAAAGGTAACAATAGTGAAGATTAAGATTATTATGTTATAGTCAATCTTACCTGTTTCCAGACTAATTAGAGAATTTTTAGATGGGTTAAAAATTGTTCAATTTTCTGCAAAAACGAAAAACTGCATCTACGTCTGTAAATCTTGCCCGTCGCTTTCTCTTAACACTTCCATTGTTCACACTTCCCTGTGGGGAGAAGTGTTAACAACCTCACCCCGCTGGTGGAATTTCAAAAAATCCCTTCTTAGCGTATATTCTTGTGACATACCCTATTAAAATGCAATCAGAAACGCAAAAAACCACATCTGCACCTGCAAATCTTGCATGTCGATTTCTCTTAACACTTCCATTATCGATACTTCCATTGTTACATTGTGAGTGTTTGGAATGGCTATGTCTATAATGTACAGTAATACCTCAACTTACGCTACCCCTACTTACGCGAACCCGGAGTTATGCGATTTTCAAATCTCGTCGATTCGTCTTTTGTTTGAGCGCCACGCAACCCTTGATTACTCACTTCCCCCACACTATTGTTTAGCTTACATGTTTGGATGTGTTGTGCGGAATCCACACATAGCTACAATTTATTTTGTGTTATTTATTTCTCTGTTTGTTATATCTACGGAGACTCGAGAGACTCTACTATGTCATCCAAACGAAGTAGAACTAATTCTTCTGCATCAAACAAGAAAAGAAAAACTTTATCTTTGGAATGTAAAGTTAACATTG